TTATAATGATAAAAGGGACACTCCACCAAGAAGACATAACACTTATAAATATATACGTACCCAACACAGGAGCACCAAAATATATATGTACCCAACATAGGAGCACCAAAATATGTAAAGCAACTATTAACAAAACTAAGAGGAGACATCAACAACGATACAATAATAGTAAGGGACCTCAGCACCCAATTAACACCAATGGATAGATCATCCAGACAGAAAGTCAACAAGGAAATTATAGAATTAAATGAAAAATTAGACCAGATGGACTTAATAGATATATATAGAACACTCCATCCACAAACAGCAGGTTACACATTCTTCTCAAGTGTGCATGGAACATTCTCAAGGATAGACCATATCTTGGGAAACAAAGCAAGCCTCAACAAATTCAAGAGGGTTGAAATAATAGCAAGCATCTTTTCTGATCATAATGCTATGAAACTAGAAATCAACTACAAGAATCAAGCTGGGAAAGGGGCAAAAATGTGGAGACTAAACAACATGTTACTGAACAAACAATGCATTACTGAAGAAATTAAAGAAGAAATCAAATGTTATCTGGAGACAAATGAAAATGAAAACACCCAATACCAACTCATTTGGGACGCAGAAAAATGGTCCTAAGAGGGAAATTCATTGCAATACAGGCTCACCTTAATAAACAAGAAAAATCTCAGATAAGCAATCTAAAACGATGACTAACAGAATTAGAAAAAGAAGAACAAAGCCCAAAGTCAGTAGAATGAGGAAATAATAAAAATTAGAGCGGAAATAAATGAAATTGAAACAAAAAAGACAGTAGAAAGGATCAATGAAACAAAGAGTTGGTTCTTTGAAAAAATAAACAAAACTGACAAACCCTTAGCCAGACTCACTAAGAAAAAAAGAGAGAAGACTCAAATAAATAAAATCAGAAATGAGAGAGGGGAAATCACAACGGATACCACATAAATACAAAAGATCATAAGAGAATACTATGAAAAACTATATGCCAACAAATTGGATAACCTAGAAGAAATGGATAAATTCTTAGACTCTTACAACCTCCCAAAACTGAAGCAGGAAGAAATAGAGAATCTGAATAGGTGAATCACAAATAAAGAAATTGAAACAGTAATCAAAAACCTCCCCAAAAATAAAAGTCCAAGACCAGACGGCTTCTCTGGAGAATTCTACCAAACATTCAAAGAAGATTTAATACTTATCCTTCTCAAACTATTCTGGAAAATTGAGGAAGATGGAGCACTCCCTAACACATTCTATGAAGCCAACATCACCCTGATCCCCAAACCTGACAAGGACAACACAAAGAAGGAAAACTATAGGCCAATATCACTGATGAACATAGATGCAAAAATCCTCAAAAAAATTTTGCCAAACCAAATACAGAAATACATTAAAAAGATTATACACCATGATCAAGTGGGATTTACACCAGGGACACAGGGATGGTTCAACATCTGCAAGTCAATCAACGTGATACACTACATTAACAAAATGAGAAACAAAACCCACATCATCATCTCAATAGATGCAGAGAAAGCATTCAAGATCCAACATCCATTTATGATAAAAAACTCTCAATAAAACAGGTATAAAAGGAAAGTACCTCAACATAATAATGGCCATATATGACAAACCCACAGCCAACATCATACTCAATGGGCAAAAACTGAAAGCCATTCCTCTGAGAAGAGGAACAAGACAAGGGTGTCCACTCTCACCACTCTTATTCAACGTAATACTGGAGGTTTTGGCCAGAGCAATTAGGCAGGAAAAAGAAAGAAAAGGAGTCCGAATAGGCAATGAAGAAGTGAAACTCTCACTGTTTGCAGACAACATGATCTTATAGATAGAAAACTCCAAAGAATCCAGAGGAAAACTATTAGAAATAACAGCTACAGCAAAGTTGCAGGGTATAAAATCAACATACATAAATCAGCAGCTTTTCTATACACTAACAATGAACTAACAGAAAAAGAACTCAAGAACTCAATCCCATTCACAATAGCAACAAAAAGAATAAAATACCTTGGGGTAAATTTAACCAAGGAAGTGAAAGACCTATACAACAAAACTACAAGACTTTCCTGAAAGACCTTGATGACGACATAAAGAGATGGAAAGACATTCCATGCACGTGGATTGGAAGAATAAACATAGTTAAAATGTCCGTTCTACCTAAAGCAATCTACAGATTCAAAGCTATCCCAATCAGAATCCCAATGACATTCTTTACAGAAATAGAACAAAGAACCCTAAAATTCATATGGGGCAACAAAAGACCCCAAATTGCTAAAGCAATCCTAAGAAAAAAGAACAAACCTGCAGGCATCACGATCCCTGACTTCAAAGCATACTACAAAGCTACAGTAATCAAAACAGCATGGTACTGGTACAAAAACAGGTGCATAGATCAATGGAACAGAATTGAAAGCCCAGAAATAAAATCACACATCTATGGACAGCTAATCTTCGACAAAGGAGCTGAGGGCATACACTGGAGAAAAGAAAGTCTCTTCAACAAATGGTGCTGGGAAAACTGGACGCCACATGTAAAAGAATGAAAATTAACCATTCTTTTTCATTGTTCACAAAAATAAACTCAAAATGGATCAAAGACCTAAAGATTAGACCTGAAACCATAAGGCTTCTTGAAGAAAATATAGGCAGTACACTCTTTGACATCAGTATCAAAAGGATCTTTTTGGACACCATAACTCCTCAGATGAGGGAAACAATAGAAAGAATAAACAAATGGGACTTCATCAGACTAAAGAGCTTCTTCAAGGCAAGGAAAAACAGGATTGAAACAAAAGAACGACCCACTAGTTGGGAAAAAATATTTACAAGTTATATATCCAACAAAGGGTTAATCTCCATAATATATAAAGAATTCACACAGCTCAACAACAAAAAATCAAACAACCCAATCAAAAAATGGGCAGGGAACATGAACAGACATTTCTCCAAAGAAGATATACGGATGGCCAACAGACACATGAAAAGATGCTCATCATCACTAATCATCAGGGAAATGCAAATCAAAACTACACTAAGATATCACCTTACACCTGTTAGAATGGCAAAAATAACCAAAACAAAAAGTGACAAATGTTGGAGAGGTTGTGGAGAAAAAGGAACCTTCACACACTGTTAGTGGGAATGCAAACTGGTGCAGCCACTATGGAAAACAGTATGGAGATTTCTCAAAAAATTAAAAATAGCAATACCATATGGCCATCCCACTAGTGGGTATCTATCCAAAGAACTTGAAGTCAGCAATTCCAAAAGTCCCATGCACCCCTATCTTCATCGCAGCATTATTTACAATAGCCAAGACGTGGAAGCAACCTAAGTGCCCATCAACTGATGATTGGATAAAGAAGATATGGTATATATATACAATGGAATACAACTCAGCCATAAAAAAGGATAAAATCGTCCCATTCACAACAACATGGATAGACCTTGAGGGAATTATGTTAAGTGAAATAAGCCAGGCAGAGAAAGACAAACTCTGCATGACTCCACTCATATGTGGAAGTTAAACATACAGACAAAGAGAACTGATTGGTGGTTACCAGGGGAAAAGGGGGGTTGGGGGAGGGCACAAAGGGTAAAGTGGTTCACCTACAACATGACTGACAATAATGTACAAGTGAAATTTCACAAGGTTGTAAACTATCATAATCTTAATAAAAATTTTTTAAAAAGCCCTTATGCCCCAAGATCATGCCTATTTTGATGGGAAGTACAAAGTATCTTCAGTAATTACAAAAAGGCATAAGGCTTTTTTCTTTCCTCTAAACCAGAAAACATTTATTATTTTTAAATTGGTTTTTGTTTCTTTAATTATGATTGAATTTTTACGGGCGCACATGCCAAATCACCTCACAGCATGACTCTAATATTCCCGGGCGCTTCCAAACAGTGATAGAAAATGGAAGTTGGAGATACACCCTTCACAGTTCAAGTGCTTAAGAGCAATCTTATACTGCACCAATTCTAATAGTCGTTCCTTCTTTTCATTAGGTACAGGAGCGAGAAAGAAAGGTCACTTTGGCTCCTGCAAGACAAATTTACTGTCATTCTGCTGAGGAGCAATAAGCTGGTGGAGAACTGTTACTCACCCCGCCACCCTCTGAGGTCCTGACCACTGTTTTTTCTCGGTGATCAGAGTGATTGTTCTGGAAGTTGTTCCTTAGCTCTGGGTTTTTCCTTTTCAAGAAGCTGTCCATTAGCAAAGGCGCTTTGACCCAAATGCTGCTTCTGCCTTCCTTGAATCCTGTGCAGGTCTGCATGATTTCGGCCTGCTGGCTTCCTGAGCTCCCCGTGATGGGGCTGAAGAAGCACGGAGCACAGAGCGACCACTAGAACCATGGCATTACCAAATTCGCAGGTGGCAGACCAACAGACGTGGCCCCACGTGCTCCTAGCCAGCAAAGAATGGCATCTTTTAAACCATCCCAGGGTCAAACTTCCCTTTGCGTGAAACGAGGTCATTTCATCTGCTTAGGCACCTCAGTACCCAGAATACTGAGAAAATGTTTTTGTAACAATTAATCTGGGGTATTCTTTTACAATATGACTTTCAGAGACAAATAGATCTGAATTTAAATCTGGGTTCCATTATCTATAAGTGTGTGGCCTTGGATAAGTCATTTAACCTTTCTAAATCCATTTCCTCTTTTGTTAAAATGGGGATAAAAAAACACCACATTAAGAGGTAGATGTTACCACCAATGATGATTAAATAAGATAAGATACAAAAGCACCAGCACAATGCCTGGCATGTTGAAGACACTCAAATTTTCTTTTTTCTAGGGTGGAACTGATTCTATTTCTTAGCCTTCATGTGTTCATTGCTGACCTGAGATCCTCCTCTCCCCACTACTCAAGTAGACTCAGCTCACATTCCAAAGAGACGAAATTGTGGATATTTGCATGAAATTATTTTAAAACATCTCCTATTGGCCAGTTAACATGAAACTTACCTGAATTTTTTCATTGGAGATTGCTTTTCTTGAGCAGTGGCCAGATGACCAGAATAATAGACTGGGAAAAACATAATGTTCCAGTTTGTTGAAAACCAAGTCATGAAAAATGGGCAGTAGAAGTTCTTATAAGTAATTTTTACAATCTGTGTGGTTCCAACCCAAGATGATGACACTGACAAGATGATCAAGAGTCCCCAGACAGCCTTCAAAACCGCAGACGTGCAGGACCGGCAGCGAGCCTTGATTCTGTTTTCTTGGCTGCTGTTCTCAGGATGAGTCTGTGTTCCATCATCCCCTGAAATCAGGAAAGGAATACAAATGTCTGGAAATCAGGTTATAAAACAGCAATCAAAGAGGCAGACAGTAGAACCATCAGTGTTTTTCTTTTTTACCATCATTTGAAGAGACTGATAACTCTGGCTCATTTTCTCTCTGGAATCTCTACTCTATAAGGTATAGTAGGTGTCTGGACCTTCAACCAGGCCATGACTATGCTCATGAACTTGGTGGATGCTATGCCATTCTCCAGTGTACCCTACCCACTTCCTTGTAAAAGCATCACACATTTCAGCTCCAAGACTTTGGCCTTGGCAGCATGACTTGTTTTGCCTAATCAAACATGAGCAGATGTGAGGTGTCCCACCTCCCAGCTGAAGCTTTGAGAGGCATCATAAGGTCCCACCAGCTCTCTTGCTCTTCTTCTCTATCAGTGGAATGGAAAATCCCCAAAAGAGCTGTCTTTTTGGTCTACGTAGGAGAATGAGCAGAATCCAGCCAAAGCAGCCTGTATCTTCTGACATAAAAAGAGAGTGAAAAATAAGTACTTGTTATATTCCACTGAGCTGTTTTTTTTCTTTACAGCAAAGATGACTATTAAATTGAAAAGCAACATGACCCAAGAACAGAGCAAGTCCTAACTACACAAAGTCGTCTCCCACCTCAGAACAAATTACTGTCTAATGTATTTCGGAGAGCACAATGAGTTCTGCTTTGTAATTTTATATTTACTGAGAAAAATTAGCAGCATTTTTTTCACACTAAAATAGTCAAAGCTCTCTGAAAGTGACAATCACAAAGGCCTTCTCCCTGATAGAGAAAACAAGTTCAACACAATGAATTTATGTATCTATCAGGAAGTTAAATTTTAGCAGAGGTCACCCTGAGTCCCCATGCTGAGATCCCAAATGGGAGAATCCTAGGGGAAGGGAGGCAGAATTGTCTGCAAGATTATCTTGTGTCTCCAGGTACCTCCCTTAAGCACAAGATTTATCGTGGGGGTTAAGAAAGTGGTGCAGCACACAGATTGCAAGTGATCATGGATGGGTTTCTCACTTTACCTTTCCAGAACCTGCTGGCTCTCTTCTGAACGTGTTCCTACTGCTTAATGGGCCAGGTGCAACTGCCCCACTGGGGTAAAGACTTTCTCCCAGCTAAGGCTTCCTGATGTAATTATTTGGGGACAGTGGGTACCAAGGCTTGAAAGTGAATTCTTCATTGGGGAATATAAACCAAGTAAGGATGAACACAGCAATTACCCCATGACCTCCAAGTCTTATAAACAGCGCTGAATTCTCAGGGCCTAGGCCTCCAGAAGATGAAAACTGATATTCTGTTATTTGCTTATTCAACAAAATTCCATGGAGATTACCAAGAGCTAGTTAGGTGGCAGGGGTTCAAAGATGAAAGATTTGAGCTCACGGCCCAGTGGAAAGCCAGAACACACACACCTAATACAATGTGGTAAGGGCCAACTATGGCAGATACAAGGCCCTGTGGAGGCAGAGGAGAAGCACTTGTTAAGGGGTGGGGCGGGAAATGATCAGGAGAAACTTCCATGACGCAGTGACATTGAGATGAGTCTGGAAGTAGGAGTTAGCCAGCTCCCTCGATTGTGCACAGACAATATCTGCTCTTGATAACTGTTCTGCACATTCCCTCTATGACCATGTGGCCACGCATGAGTAGAAGTAAAAAGCTCAAATGAATGAGTGGGTAGAATAAGTTGGGAGGCTGGGAAGGGAACACAAACTTACCCAGTTAAGTAGGTATTATCATTCCTATTTTACAGATGCAAAAACTAAGGCTTGTGTTACAGTTGTCCAAGGTTGAACCCAGGGCCTAAAGTTTTTATTCTAAATTTCATTCTGTCTAGGTTTCAGGCTTGGGATCTCTGTTCAAGTGCTGGAAGTTTCAGGAGTGGTTTGGAGAAAAAGTTCTGTTTCCTGGCGGTAATGGCAGTCTTCCATGAGGGTTCAGAGAAAAGTGTACTCTTAGGAGAAAGGCGGCCCCTACTACACTTCGGACCACGTTATTCTCAGGGACTGTCTCATAGAGGAGAGACAACTCTACAGAGATTCTAAGGATCCCTTTAAGGGGACACCTGCCTGCATCGTCACCTTCTTTGAAGACTGCTTCTGACCCACCATCAAACCATGGGCAGTACCTTTGATGACACCAAAATCCCCTACACCCCTCCATATTAGTGACCCATTCTTCCTCTGATGACTAGACTTCATTGTTGCCAATTCTTTCATTTTACCACCCAGAGATACCATAGAACAACTGGGTCTCCAGAGGTCTTTTATTTTTCTGACCATTTTTAACATGATTTTCTATAGTCCTGCTTAGATTTACAGTTTTGTATATGTCGTTAAAACTGATTTACCAGAAGTTCCATCCATGTCTATGAACCTTGGTTGGAGTCATACAAACTGATGGTAGAGGCCACAGGAATTTGGAACCCCGGGTGTAAGTCCTAGCCCTGCCAGTCTATGGCCCTGAGGACAGGTTTGATTCCAGTCTTAGCTCCTTTCTCTGTCAAGCAGTGATAATATCCATCTCACAGGATTCGTTCTGAGGTTAAGCACCATAACATTCATGAAGCATGGTGATCCGCTTTTGAGATTATTCTCCTTTTCTCTTTTCTCTGTGGTGCCCTGGAATATCCCCAAGTGCCTCCAAATCATCACAGAAAGAGTAAATTATGCCCCATGTGATCTTTAATAGTATAGTCTTTGAAATTTGTAATCTACATATGATAGATAAGGCAAGTCTTTATTAACCAGCATATTCAATTAACTGGAACATTCTGTTCCGCAGATAACTGGGATAATAGGAATATTACTGCAACTTATTAAAGCCAATTAAAACTTCCTGAAGATTTAAGATATAATTTTCTTTACTTTTTTTTAAAACAGTTTTAGCCTCGGCGCCCATAATTGCTGAGATACCATTTTAAAATATTGTCACTTTTTTGAAAAATATCTTTTCTCATATAAAAAACCTCTTCTTGAATTAGTAATCAGTAGGCCCCTAGAAGAAGCTTTCATATCTCCTCTATACCCTTGTTTGCCCCCCATCCCTCACGGTGTCCCCTGAATTGCCATTTCTCTTCTGTTTTTAATCCATTTTTCTCAAAGTATTGGGGTTTGTTTTTTTTTTTTACTACCCATTTATTTTGGATGGAGTATTTTGTTGTTTTGCTGTTGTTATAATTGTTTTTAAGGACGCAAGAGATTTTAATATGTTGCTGGTCAAGCTGAAGGAACAAATGGAGAAGGAGAGATTGGACATGCAGGTGAAGAGATGGAGAGGCAGTGATCATGGATACAGGAAAAGAGTTAACATTGGAACGGTAGAAAACACACAAGTCAAAGGCAGTCCTGCAATGATGGTAACGGGCAAACAAAAGACCAGAGAGGACTGAGTCAGAGAGGGAAGCATCTGCTGGCACACAATTGTTTTGCTCTTTTCGGGAAGTACAAGTGCGGTCATACGATGAGAAGTGAGTATGGACTCGGGGCTTGAGAGCATTCTCTGGGGAAGGCAATAGATCTCCACTACCAAAAAGTAACAGTATTGGGCAGCAGCCCAGTGGACCCAGCTTCATTTGAAAATTATAAATTTGCTGGGAAACTCATGGATATAGTTACAAGATTTGTCTAGTAATTCCAGTAACCCAAGTAACTCAGGAGCTGATGAGTGGTCAGGTGGATATGAGGAAAAGGCTAAAGGTCTCGACTGATCAGTAAACGCTGACCAGGGAGGCAAGTGAAGGGTCCTGAAGGAGATGTAAAAGTGGAAAAACTAGAAGGACTCCCAGGGTTGGCAGTCCTGATGAGGATAAGAGCAGAGTCTGTGATTTTACTGGTACTTTTATTCTTCTCAGAATGGGCACAGTGTGTGCTCTTACTGAATCCCAGTGTTGAGGCAAAAGATGCTGGCTTTTGACATTTTTTTTTTTGAGGAAGATTAGCTCTGAGCAAACTGTTGCCAATCCTCCTCTTTTTGCTGAGGAAGACTGGCCCTGAGCTAACATCCATGCCCATCTTCCTCTACTTTATACTTGGGATGCCTACCACAGCATGGCTTTTGCCAAGCGGCGCCATGTCCGCACCCAGGATCCAAACCAGTGAACCCCGGGCCACCGTGCCAAGAAGCAGAACATGTGAACTTAACCGCTGTGCCACTGGGCCGGCCCCTTGACATCTTGAAGATGAGAAAACTAGTTACTTTACAAGCTTCCTTAGACATCACTGTTTAACCATGTGTTGAGCTCTTCAAAGACAGGTTTGGGTATTCGGTTTCTCTGCTACACTGAACAGCACTACTAGCTTGAATCTGCACATTTCCCTTCTTCCTGCTCCTCCCACTTGATAAACCTTCCCCACGCCCACTCCTAAGAGTCCACGCAGCATCTCTGCTTTCTGTGCCAGTGGCGAAATCTTTCATGGCTGGTTGGAAGGTTACCTGGACATACTACTAATTAAAAGGAGGTCACCAGCATACCTGATCTGTTCTGCCTCTCCACTCTGTGTCCACAAACTCCAGAGGATCCGCGATTCTGAAGTTCAAGAATAGGAGCAGAAGAATCTTCAGTAACAGACAGAGGGGACAGTTGTCTACTGATGCCACTGTGTGAACTGGGGCAGTTGGCTCCTGGTTTACACCGAGTAGCTGATGATCTGGAGGTACCTGAGAAGAAAGAGTTCACACCCGTGTGAGAACTGCCTGTAGGAAAAATCGGAAACAGATTGAAATGCCTTGGCAGTGAAATGTATAGTGGCAACATCACGGTCCTGATGGAACATCCATTGAGCTCATTTCTAATCTCATAAAAGGGGTTCCTAAGAAGAAAATGCTACCAGGTCTGTGTTCCTAAGATAAAGGGTCTTTTTAGATAAAGTCATTAACTAGAAATGAACATCAGAAGATGGTGTTTGGGTTCATAAATCTGTTCTGAATTAGAACTGTCAACACAGTTGAATAGTTTACCTTAAGGAAAGCCGAATTTTTTTTATGCTTGCTTCCTCCCTTTTCTTCCTAAGGCTGGCTGTTGAATTTCTGGCTGGTAAAGCTGCCAGCAACGTCACCTATCAAATCCACTATACACTTTTCCATCAGATTGATGACTAAAATCCAACTTATTTATATCTCCTCAGTCACCTCTGGCCTCCATCCAGTTATAGACCAAAAGCCAGCCTTCAGGATCCTCCACAGGCTAAGTCCCTTCCTATCCTGATTAACGTTCCGTGAACCCCCAACCCAAGGTTGGCTCCAGGGCCTGCGACCAGGGCAGTCACACACGGTGCTGTGCTCAGAAGTCCCCCTACCCGCCAGGCACACACACCTGGGGATTGATTATGCACAGTCATCATCTGGAAATTTGAAATACGTTTATCTTTCAATTTGTGTTTTGTAAGTGAGTTCTGATGGGATAATGGAGCGCACACAGGTGGCCTGGAGCCTCAGCTTGGGAATGGTCTTGCTTCCTGTTGTCTCCCCGCCTTTTGGGTTGGGTTTTCAGCTGCTCACCCCTTGTCCCTGCCTAGCAACCTTATAGGGGCCTAGGCACTGGTGTGCGGAAGGTTGGGGTCTCAGGGTGAGGCCCCCAGTGTCTGTGGGGGTCTGCACTTATCCAGCGAGTATCCCCATGTCCAAGGGAGCAGACTTTAAATAGCAAATAAAAAACGCTGTGGCATGGGGGTGGAAAGAGAGAGAAAGAAAGAAATAAGGAGGAAGAGAAGAAGGAAGAGAGAGAGAGAGAAAATAAGAAAGGAAAAAGCCATTTTTCTGCTTTTTGAATAAGGGGCCCTATATTTTCATTTGGTACTGGGACCTCAAATTAGTTCTGGCTGTGTTCTGACACCTTACTCTCGGTACTGATGGCTTTTAAGCCTTTGACTGGGCAGTTTCTCTACCTGGAACACAGGATCTACTCAAATCCTTGAACGCTAAGATCAGGTCCTGATTGGTCCGTGCAGTCTTTGCTGTTTGATCACGTGCATCTGTACTTTGTACATCTGAGCTCATTTTGACAGCAGTCATGCACCAGCTGCCTCAATACCTAACTTTCTCTCTTGTGAATGCTTTGACTGTCTCCACCTGCATAAGCTGCATGATGTCAGAGACTTTCTACACACACACACACACACACACACACACAAACTCACTTTGTCTCTCTTTTTAAATACACTTTTAATTTGGAATAATTGTACATTTATGGAAAAGTTGCAAAGATAGTTAGAGTTCTCATATACCCTTCATCCAGTTTCTGTAATGTTAACATCTTACATAACCCTGGTACATTTAAATAAACCTTGACAGTTAAGGTCAAAATTAAGAGATTAACACTGGCACATTACTATTATCCACACTCTGAATTTCATTTGGATTTGACTACTTTTATCATGAATGCCCTATTTCCGTTCCAGGATCCCATCCAGGACACCACAACACATTTAGTCATTATGTCTCCTTAGCCGTCTAGCGTCTGTGACAGGTTTTCAGTCTTTCCTGGTTTTTCACGACGCTGACAGTTTTGAGAAGTGCTGTTGAACTATTTTGTAGACTGTCCCTCAATTGGGGTTTTTCAGATGGTGTGTCTCCTGGTTATATTTGGATTATGCATTTTGGGGAAGAGTATCATAAAGGTGAAGTGTCCGTATCACAATCTGCTACCAATATGATTTATCAGTGACGATGTGAACCCTGGTCACAGGGCCTAGGGAGTGCTTGCCGGGATGCTCCACTGTCTTTTCCCCCTTTCCACTCTGTTCTTTGGAAGCAAGTCACTAAGTCCAGCCCACAGTCTGGGGAGAGGGATGGGGAAGTTCAGCTTTCTCTTCTGGTGGGGGAAGGTCTACTTATATTATTTGGAATTCTTCTGAGAAGATTTGTCTTTCCTTTCCTTTATCCACTCAATCATTTATTTATATCAGTATGGACCCATGTATATTTATTTCATACTTTGGCTTATGATCAAAACTGGATTGTTTATTCTTTTGCTCAAATTACTCCAGCTTTGGCTGTTGGGAGTCCTTTCAGATTGGCTTCTGAATTCCTTTGACATGTCCCCATTCTTTTGTTTTTTGAACTCTTCCTTACTTTCTGGCACTACAAAATGCTCCAGGCTTATCTTTCATTTTCCCTGCCCCAATCCTAGAATCAGTCATTTCTCCAAGGATTCCTATTTCCTTTTATTGGAGAATGGTGTTTAGAAACCAACATCTGGCTGTGAGTGTGCTCATTGTTATTGGGGTTCCCCTGAATCTAGGTCATCTCAGTTGTCAGAGCTGGGAAATGTGTATGTGTATGTCAATCCTTGTGTATACCTATGTCCATAATTATTCTGTATCTGTCTTCTTACTCTTCTTTAAAATAATCTCTAAGTACCAGATAAAATGTTCTATGTGACCTCAGACAATATCTGTTGACTTGGATGAAGATCAGTTGGGATGATTAGATGTAGAATACCAGAATAAACTTGGACACTGCTGGGCATCAGCTCCAAGATAGCTGTATTGCTCTGACCACTTTCTGGGGTGTTTGTGTTTGTTCTTCCTTGTAAGTTGTGAGTTTCCTTATTCTCACTGATATGAGGTAGAGAACAGAGGCTATCATTCCTTCTGGGACATGGAGGCTATGTCTTGGTGTGGTGCTTCCGAGATGGTAGAGAGGAGGTAGAAACTGTCCAATGAAGAGCCACCTCTTGAAATAGCAGTGGCATCTTGGCTTTAATTTGGCTTCGAATACATCATGTTTTGTACAATGTGAGTAATCACTTAACCACTCAAATCAGAACCTCAAAAAGCAGTGGTGCCCCCAAAAAGAAAGCTGCAGTTCCTGAACCATCATCTCTAACGAGAACAAAGTAGAATAGCAGTGTAACTGAGAAGCAAGTGTCAGTTCCACAACTCAGCCTCTTCATCTAGGACGAAAGTGCATCTTGGTTTTTTTTCTTTCTTTTTTTTTCCCCTCAATCTTGGGAAAAATAAGTAGAGGTATATAAAAGTGTAGTTAGCTGTACCATCTATTATTAAGTGTCTCATGTTGACCAATTAAAATTTATTATTTAATCTTGGATAAAAAATATAAAGTGCACAGCTACTAAAAAAATCAACAGAAGCACTACATACCGATTACTATGCTTAAATTAATGCTATGTTAATATTGTTATTATAAAAGCGTCAAAAATACATAAGATTATTTTATGTATTCAAAATGCTTCCTGTAACTTTCATAAGTATGTTTCTATTTGAATATTTCAAATTCAATAACAGGACGCTTTCTAAAATTCAGTGAACTCTCATTTATTCATGCTCTTCAAGAGGGGCTGACACTCAAATACTCTGAGAGTTATTTTAAATTTGTCTTTCAAGTATCTTTTATATTTTTACATGGTGTGCCTTCTCATGTTTTCTTAGGTTAATATTAGATTTCATTTTGTGATCATTTGGTAATTGTAGGTGGAAAGGAGGAAGTCTGAAATAGGTTGGGTAGTACGTTGAGATATAACATTGGCCATAGTTACCTAAAATGTTGGTAAATTGTGTGTCACTAGCAAGCATTGGATTTGTAAGCCAAACTAATGATTTTTCTTGCTTCCTCATTTTTGCTGGGGTATTATGTCCTGCCTCCTGTACCTCCTGTACCTTATGCAATTTAGTTTAACACCCATTGCCTGCTGCCACCTGCCTCCCACTGGCTGATCTGTGGAAGAGACCCAAGAGTAGTTCAGTGACTGGAGACATTTTAATCATTGTCCTGAAAAGGCAAACTTTAAACTTCAGAGCCAGGCCCAGAGGCGTGTTCAGGGCTTGGCCATGAAACAGCCATCTCCAAGCCTGGAAATAAAGACAGCGTCCCATCCTATATGGTCTTATGCCACTCAATAAATAAAAAGCCAGCCCCGACAAAAAAATAAATATTCAGAGTGTTGCCTGGGATGCAGTCAAGGATCATAAATAAATCATATCTATTTTCTATTATATATGCCACAGCGAGTGCCTGGGCATTGCAAATTCAGTTAGTGAACAGTGTTCAGACTTTAATAGGTATTGAGAGTAAACTGTATTAGGTGTGATGGGTTGGAAGTCTCTCATTAGTCACATCAGATGGTCCCCCCTCTCTTTTGTAAAGACGTCTCACCTGAACCATAGCAGTAGGACCATCTTGTGCCCTTTTTCATATTTGTCCAGGCACACGAATACAATTTCTTCATCTGCACTGGTTAGGCTCTGCAAGCTCCCCAGATCAATTTAACTCAACAAGTAGACATTGAGCCCCTATTCCAGGGCAGGTCTTGAGTCAGGAGCAGGAGTTAGACAAATGAAGAATACACAGTCCGTGCCTGCACGGAGCTCTCAACATAGTAATAGCATGAGACGTGTAGCCAATTAACCATAATTGAATGTGAACTGGAGAGCAAGAAGAAAGGGAGGGAGTGATCCATTCAGCCTGGAGCAGGGAAGGCTCTATGGGAGGTTACAGCAAAGTTGGCTTTGAAGGATGAGCGGGACTTTGCCAGGTAGAGTTTTAGGCTGAGGAACAGGCAATAGAGTCAGAAGAAACCATGGGAGCAAATACTCAGAGGTGCAGAGTACACACTGTGAGGCTTAGAAAGATGATCAGCTGTAAGAGTTGGATTCTGAGTACAAAAGAGCATTGAAAATCCCGTTCTTTTACCTTTGCCT